TAGAGAGAGAGAGAGAGAGAGAGAGAGAGAGAGAGAGAGAGAGAGGAAGAGTTCACATGGATGTGCATCAGATCTATTAAATGAATGAATGAAAATTAATAAACGTAGATCCTACCAGAGTTTCGCTCGTTGGTAACACAGCAATAGAAGACGCAAAACCTTCTAAAAACGTCGAGTTCTCAAACACCAGTATCGGGCTCACTGCAAAATCAAATATCAGTATTACATCTAATGTCAAGACATTAATTTTTTAATTAAATAACAATTTTTTAAAGACAATTTTAGCTATAGTTAGTTTGCTGTCTGCTGCCTTTTCAGAGCTGGTGCCTTAAAAAAAAAAGTATTTTAAAAATAATTATTTAACGACTATGAAGTACTATACTCGGACGCAAAACAGCGCAACATTTTCATCGACTAAAGTGCTGGCCAAAGTTTCTATTGGTGAGTACTGTTCACATGTTCCGTTGAAGCATGGTATGAACCTGTTTAGTTGACCTCCTTCAAACAATATAACGCCCTGATTGGTTGCTTTTGTAAGAAACATGTAAACAACTATCACAGCTCACGGATACTCACTGGTCACCTCATTCGAGTAGTGAGTGTGTGTTCATGAGGTCACTTAAGGCCTGGTCTTCAAATTTGGAGCCCCGAAATATGGAATTTATTTGGAAACGAAAGCAGTATCATAAGATGCTGAGACTTTCATCAGAAAATCGTGAGAGATTTACGGGACGACTACAAGCTGGCGAGTTTGCTGAATATGTGACAACTGTTATAGACGTGCATTTCTCCGCCACCTATAGTCCATAAAACCGGTTTCAGGTCACCAATGCGCCCGTGATCTCTCCAGAACCGGAAGACCAAGGGGGACAATTGCAGCTCAGGATCCCCAAAGGACCATTCCTGACCACCAGAAAGGACCATTCCTGACCACCAGGAACACCATCAGATGAACGGGACGGGCCATGAGTACAAGAACCGTACGGCGGAGATTGTACTCCACAGGCCTCTGGTGCAGACGGCCATGTCGCAAGGAAGTTTTGACCCTTCAGCCCCGCCATGACATGCTTCTGTAGGCACAGGCTCACATGAACAGGAGGAACAGACAATAGAGAAGAGTGCTGTTCACCGACAAGAGCAGATTCTGCGTTGATCCGTCAAATGAGGGCGCATCCGTGTGACCTTGGCCATCAATAATCCATGTGTGGTGCACAGACCTGATATGCTACGGTGATGATACGTCGTGGAGATAGACCCTTGGGGAGGATCAAGCGTCATGATTTAGGGAGTCATCGCTCTATATCAAAGATCTGAACCAGTGTCCATCCAGTAAGTGGGCCGCGGACAAGGAAAAAGGGTTACAGCCCAGCGCTACATTGACCAAGCTCTTCAGACTCATGTGGTGCACTTTTCCAGGAGGCTTTTAAATTTCCTTTTCCAGCAAGACAACGGAAAACCTCATATAGCCCGCATAACACAGTAGTTCCTAGGTCCGATTAACATCAGTCTTGTGCCTCATACTTCTCGTTTACGTGACTTAAGCTGCAACCGGGCACATTTGGGACGCTATCCAGAGGCAACTCAACCAGCTGCAACCACCACCACAGACAGCTCCTCAAATGGCTTCAGCCATCGGTGTGTGTGGGTACAGATCCCAGGTCGACAAATAAACACTTTCATGAACTCTATGGGTCGAAGATGCAGAGCGGTTATTGCAGCCAACGAAGGTCACATACGGTACTGCCTTTCTGCTCCAAGATCAACGCCAAAGACTAAACAAAGTGAGACTAAAACTGCACTAAAAACAGCCAACCTATTGGCACTCTCATAGCTGTGTAAATTTTGACGTATTAAAATTTCATTTACACTTGACAAAGCCATGCGGAGTACTGTGTATTTTATTTATGCTTTACTTATTCGCGTTTCTTTTGCATCTGAGTATAGGCTATAAAACCAAAGGCAAGTTTTGAAGAATTGAAAAGGAGAAAGTTTAGGCCATTATCATTTTCCTCCCACTAAAAGAAGAGACAGGCATGTTGACAGCCTACAATACTGCTTAACAGATGGTTCTCGGCATATTTGACGGGGAGGGGATGCAGAGGATCTAATAATAACGCAGGCCCACAATAAGTGCTTGAAGTATAATAATAGCTCCTCGCACCCTCCCCCCCCTTCCCCCCACCTTTTCCCCCTTTTCCCCCTAAATAGTGGGAACATTTCGAAGGCTGCGTCGGGTAGGGCCTTGAGTGACTTTAGCACCATCTTTACCGGAGAACAGAGACTAGCATACTACATTATTATTTCTTTGTCACAGATACCCATGGTGAAATCGCTACCAGGACCAAATTCATTTGTACAGCTAGACGAGATACGTCACTTCAGAATCTTTGGTTACTTTTTGACTCGTTTTTCAATAACCAGAGCTCAGTCAAATTAGCCTGATATTGAGTTTATTCGGGGTTTATTTTTAAATTGGCAACAAAACATGAGATTTCTACACACAAAAAATAGACATATTTTTATTATTATTCTCCCCTCCCCTTTCCCGTACTTAATATACAGTGGTTGTGAGTAAATATAATAAATTTATAGGTTGCGGGGGTTGGGGGAAGGGGGGGGGGTTAAATCTGTAATGTAAGGAGAAATTGTTTCGAAATGCTACTACCGCTGTCCTAAGCCTAAAAACACCGAGAGGCAAACGTCGAGTTATTCTTTTTAAAAACATTTTAAAAACTTTTTTGGGTAAGTGTTTTATGGCGTTCGCAACTGCATAAGGTCATATGAGCGCACTAAACATTTGACGTTGGTCGGAAATTATGAATTTTGCCCCGGTTGCGGCCCAAGCCTTCTCTTATCGATTTAGGACCACCAAGGGATCTTTTGACGTGCGCAACTTGTATACAGGACCTCCGAGGTTTTCGCCCTTATCCGAGAAGGCTAAGTGTTAGATCTTATCTACCACAAGATCAGGGGTGTGGCTGAAAGACAGCAATAAGAATGAGCCAAGGAGTAACAGTTTAAAGGCAGCAAAAAGACTCAGGGGCCCAGAGGAGAGGGTAAAGGAGGTAAGGGGGAAGGGGCAGAAAGTGGAGACTTAAGCAGACGACAGAACCTTGTTAGAGAGTAGAAAAGGAGGTGAAAGGAGACATTTTTAGAGAGGACAATTTTCTGTGGTTGTCCGGATTGGAACCCATGACCTATTGTATGGGGGGCGAACACCATAGCCTCTCGACATCAAGAGCCACCCCCCCCCCCCCTTTCCCTGAGTTAATTCAGTCCCAAGCCTGAAAACAAAGAAGGAAAAATTATAGGTCTGTTATAGTCTGTAAACAGAAAAAACGACAAAAACATTGAGTATCGATAGCATGATCAATACCATCTTGACGAGGTAGGCTTATGAAATTTGCTCAACGCAGTCACTGTTCCCTGGGCGGATTTTTTTCCTGCTGTCGCTCTTCCCCGCTCTTCGCTGTTGAGAGTTGAGACAGACCATCTTAACTATTCTTAATGAGTATTTTGTAATCTGCTCATCGAGAGCTCATTTTGTCGCTAAAGTTGGACACAGTTTTACCTCATTTTTAAAAGAATAACAAACAAAGAATGCTTTCCAATTTCAATTCTGATTAAGTAGAATAATTCGTTAGAAAGTTATCAGTTCAGTAATTTTCTCGTCCACCTATCATCTCATAGCCTCACGTATCTGTAGAAAAAAAGAAAAAAAACATCCGCCTTTTTCAACCCATCCCTTGTTTCACCACACAACACGGATATTGAGTCTTCAGTTTAACTGAAACTGGACACAGATAGCACTCGCGCAAGCTGAAAAGAAAGCTTTCAAGGGAACAGAGCGCAAACAAAGCCGTAAAAAGACAGGGTAGCACTGAATCTAGCAACCCGCTGCTTACCTTTGCTGTCGTCGTAATACACTTCGTCGCTGCAGTTTGCCTGTGGCGACAGTATGTCAGTGCAGACGAACATTTTGCCGGAAGTTATGCCTCTATACGAAGCTTTTGGAGCTCCTACCAAGAGGCTAAACAAAGATAACATGAACAAAGATATTTTCAAACAAGAAAGTAAAGACTTAAAATACTACAATAAGAAATAAATTACGTAAAAAGATATATGAAAAATATGTCAACTGGCTTAAGTACGGTACAATAGTAAGCTTTTAACAATGTGCATAATAATATATCTATTACATCAATGTCTGGAACATCTGGGAACCGGCTACTACTACTAAAACTAAAAATGTAATTAAGCTCTAGACCTAAATAAAACTCATATCATCACAATCACACGTGGTAAGTGGAAAAGCCTAGGAGAGCAATTTTTTTTATGTTTGAAGCCCTGTAAACAGCGATTTTTGCACTAAGTGGCTTCAGAACGCAGAGAAACACAAACTGGAAACAATATTATGTTTAATATTCTGTTGCATGAAATGCCTTGAGAGGCATATTATGCAAGAACGTGAGTTTTAGTCGTATTTTTTTTAAAGAGTTAGATATTGTTGGGGTTGTTTTTTCTCAAAGGATTTCACCCAACTTATTCCTGCTTTAGGCACAGTGAGATTCGTAATGGCTTTATGTGGTCCGCGACTTGGACACGTTTGCTCACGGCTTTGTTATACGAGGCTGTGCTGAAAGAAATACCCAGATTGCTTTAACTTTTCACTTATTCACTGAAGAATAATTTTTTACAAAGAATTGCTTCAAGCACTTTCTGACCATTCTGGGTACCACGACAGAAAATTTCAATTCCCTATGATGCCATTCACACTCAAAATTCCATGTGTCACAACACGCATTTGGGTACCCCTGTCGACCGAAGAGCTAAAATCGAGATCCCAGAAGAGCTTCTCTTCATGCAACGTACTGAGATTAAATTTTCTTACAGCTGAAGGCTTTACAGCAGCACACATGTATGAAACCATTATTATATCTCATTCATGGTGAGGTTTGTAAGATCTTTGAAGGGAGAAGACTTGACTGAGATGATGTTGAACTATTAAATTCGTTCTGACTGGTAGGCCGCATGGTGCTTATCATTTTCGGGGACTGAAATGGTATAGTTCTCACGAAGTTACTAGAACAGGAGAAGACAGTGAACTCAGAACAACGTTGCCAATTTAATCAAAAGCTGTAAGCTAAGCTGAGATGGGTTCGCCCTGAGGATGACGCAATACGACAAAAAATTTAATGACAAAGCGAGCCCTCACACAATCACACAAGTTGGATTTCTCCATCATGCCGCATTTGTCGTTAGGTCCAAAGCTTGCTCCCTGGGGGCTTTTTCTGAAATTCTTCTAGGCGTTCTTTCAGTGTGACATTTATGCAACAAAAAAATTTGAAAGTAAGAAAGTTGTGGCTAAACAGGCATTGCTTTTCAGCCCGCATTCGTTACATTAGACTACTTATGCTTTACCGTAAAACACTTGCCAGAACTTAGTTTAGTACATTTTTGGTATATACATGTACAGATCTATAATAATGTGTTTTCTGTCTTTATTTATAGGCATTTTTGGGG